GGCCGGGCGGTGCGGTGCGGTGCCGGGCGGTGCGGTGCGGTGCCGGGCGGTGCGGTGCGGTGCCGGGCGGTGCCGGGCGGTGCGGTGTCACCATGTGCTGGAGCTCAGTGAGCTGTTCTAGGTGCCGGCGTGGTGCTTAGCTGCAGTGACCCCGTTAAGGGTGGGGAGGGAGCCCGTGCGGCTCAGCGGGGCCTGGGGGGTGGCAGCCATGCCTGGGGGGGAGTCTGCCCTCTCCCTCTCTCCACACCCTGGCACATGTCTGTCTGCGGTCTGCCATTTTTTTCGAAAGAGAATGGATAGCATTAAAGCTGTAGTCTGCAGGTCCCTAACCATCAGGCACTGTACCTCCCGGGTTGGAGGTTCGAATTTCATCAACACGCTGTGTCTGTGAAGGCTGCATGTTCTCCCCATGTGATGTGGGGTTTCTCCGGGTACTCTGGGTATTCTGGTTAGATCAACTGGTATCTATAAATCGTTCTGTGTGTGTGTGTGTGTGTGTGTGTGTGTGTGTGTGTGTGTGTGTGATTTTGTTTGGTTACTTATGGTTAAGTTTACACACACAAACTCTGGACATTGTCCAGAGAATCAGGCTTCCTGCAGTTGCCCTTTCACACATGTCAGACGCGTTCACACCCTAATAGAAATGCTCCGGTTGGTTTAGATGAGGGGTGGCGTTTTTGCACCAGTCGCATGAACACACCCACTTGCTCCTGGTGAATTCTCCAGACAATTTCCTGCTCCATTCACACATGGGAGTTAATGGGAAATGACCCAGACTTTGTACTGGGGAAGCTTACATTTAATGTCCGGCGCAACTGATTCAGACATTTGCGTTCACATGTATAGCCCATCCAGGTAGAGTTTAGAAAAAGCATTGCATGTCCAAAATATAGTTAAGCTATAATTAGGATTGGGGTTTTGTCCATTGAAGTGAATGGACGGTCCCCACAATGATTGGAATAGGAACCTGTGTGTGTGTGTGTGCCCTGTGGTAGACTGGCATCCCATTCAGGCTAATCCCCCTTTTTGCTGCCTGGAATTGGCCCCACCCTCCATGACCCTGTTCAGGGTAACTGGCTGGGAGATGAATGCAGAACAAGCCGGTTAATGTTTGTGACATTTAGTAAATCTATGTGATATCAAATCTGCATAAGGAACCAACTGAGGGCCTGGGGAGTTTCTGACGTGTCAGGAGATGGGGGCTCACATTACCGTGCAGCTTTCAGGGGGGGGTCTGTGAGAGGGAGTGCTCCCGGGCATCTGGGGTGGCTGTCTGTCTGCCGGAAAGGAGGGCCTGTCGAGCATGTCCGGTCCTGTTAGTGTAGCTTAGCAACCCAACAGTTTTGAATTAGTTTTTTTATTGCTAGTGTGAAGATGTTAATCCTCCCCCCTCGCTGGGGCCATGTTTCTGCAGCCGCAGCGTTTGGGCTTCTGGTGACGGTGTGCAGAGTTGGGTGGGGGGCACGTCACCGCAGAGTCTGGGTGCACAGGGGGCCTGGGAGGCGGTTGGTGGGGTTGGAGAGAAGCTGGCACGTGTGACGCTGTGAAAGAGCGCACTGCAGCTCCGGAGGTCCTCGCATCGCTAAAAATAGTCTTGTGATGGATGTAAAGGAGAAAGGCATTGGAGGTCTGTGCCGTTATCAGCGGCCGCCATCGGAGCGGCTTTCGCGCAAAGCATCCGCTGAGTCAGTATGTTAAACCATGAAACATTCGCAGATGAATGTGTAGTGGGGGGATGGGGGAGACGGCGCCCTCTGCTGCAGTGACCGTCCACGCTGAAGCTGCATGCTGCCCCCTCCTGCTGGTCTGGAGGCCTGGCTGCCCTCCGACACGGGCGCCCCCGCGCTCCTGAGCCGGCCCGCCTTCTGCTAATCAGGCTCTGCAGGGCTCTGCAGCCTCGGCGAGCCCCTTACTCATGCCAGCACCTTCCGGAAGGGTCCATTAGCAGAACGGTCGTGTCCTGGCTAAGGGCCGACCCATTCTGGCTCTGCTGTTCGATTTCGGATTAATGGACTGAGGGCTGCATTATGGGGCCGTTTGCCCCCCCCAGCATTATTAATCCAGATAAGCGGCTCTGACCTGTTTGTACATGGGTGTCTCCTCCATTTCTGCTCACCCCGCACAGTCGCCCAGAGTGATTCTGATCTCCAGTGGGTGGGGCTAGTGAACAGGCTACTTAATTGATTTATTTAGATTGATTTTTACCAAATGCTGGTGGGTTTCCTGGTACTAAAAACACACACGGTGCATTTTCCTCTGCCTGCCCACCTACCTTTGTCTGTAGCCCGATGCATCTTCAGTTGTTTGGTTTCGGGGCCCCATACAGAGTCCGGTATCTGATCAGAACCGGGTAGATAATTGGCCCATTGTGGTAACATGACCATTGCAGGGCTAGACATAAGGATTTAGGAGGGCACAGCCACTTTGGCCTTGGCTATTCATATTTTTTCTAGGGCACAAGGCCA